GCAGCCCCCGGTGCTCCCCGCAGCCCCCGGTGCTCCCCGCAGCCCCCGGTTCTCCCCGCCGGGATGCGGCTCCCCCTGCGGTGCGGGGCGCTGGGACACCAACACCGAGCGCCGTGGATGGGAACGTCTTGTTCCTCCGCTCGGGCAGCGGGGAAAACAAAAAATAGAGGAAGACAAAGCGAGACAAAAGAAGCCCAACACCACAAAAAMCGGCTGCGAACCGCTGTGCCGGAGCCTCCCGGCGAGCGACAGTCTGAGAAGGGAGCGCTCCTCCTCATCCTCACGGGAGCAGCGGCGGGCAGCGGGCGGCTCCCAGTCCTGGGCATCCCGGACCCCTCGGCAGGTAAGAGAGCTCCGGGACCGGGGATCCCTCAGCCCTGGACCCCCCAAAACCCAGCCGGAGCCGCGGGGTTCGGGATTTACCAGAGAGGGAGCAGGACCCTGGCGAGGCACGGAAGGGCTGGTTTGACTCTYGTGGGGACACAAAGCAGAATTAAAGAATTTAATTTGGCTTCAGAATTTTCGTTCTGTAAGTTAATGAGCATTTTGGCTCCTCGGCTGCAAGTTTCCTGGTGGATTTTGTGTTCTTGTCTCAGGCAGGGCACAGGGACCTGGAGCCACGGTTTTACAGCGTGCGCCCTATGAGWGCAGCTGGGATGTAGAAAACCACTKTATCTCTCRGGATAATTACATGGGATTCTTAATTAATGCTGGTCTGACTCTCCACTGGGGGAAAAGACTGTCCAGAACCTGGCAAGGGGGATCAAATAGTAATTTTGAGAATGTGGGGCTTGAAAGGAGCATCCTRCCAGAGATTCTCTTAATTCCCATACACTTTCTGCTGGAATATATTCTACCTCATCCCCTATGGCTGCTGGGAGTGGGTTTGTGGAGGTGCCCAGGGAACCAGGCACTCCTTCCTTCCCTCCCTCCCATCACAGCTGCTACAGAGAAAGACAGGAGAAGCTGAAACTGTGTGGGGAGTGAAGAAATAACCAAGGGGGTGAAAGAACCCAGTGGGAAGGGGTGGGGTGTGGTGGCAGGGAGAGATGAGGGAACGCAGGGGATGGAAAGGATGCTCCTGCCCAGCCAGGTGSCCAGGAGCTGGTGGGTCAGGGTGGAATTAAGTGGGAAAAAAATAAACGCAAGAAATGCGGGAGTGTCCTTTTTTTTCCCTGCTTTACGTCAGCACAGCTCCCAGGTCACTCTCCGTGAGGCTCTTTGAGCTGATTTCCAGGTCCTGCTGCCCCAGGCTGGCAGCTCCCCACAGATCTGTGCTGGCTGCTGAACSATTTCACAGCCAGCTCCTGCACTGTGCTCCCTACAGCAGCTCCTCTGCATCTGTCACAGAGCACCTTCACGCCTTCACTCTTTAAGCCAGCCAGTGCCTCAGCAAAGGCCCCTGAAGAAGGCCTGGMCTCCAGGGACGTCTCCTTCTGCCCAGAAATTCAACCAAAGCGTGTTTGTGTCCCCTGCAGGGCTCACAGACTCGTCCGTGCTGGGCTTGGAGCTGTGGAGAAGCCGCAGGGTCTGCCATGGCTCAGCCTCCCAATGGCTCCTGGCACAACGGCTCAGCCCCGCTCTTCACGGGCCTGGACCTGCTGCTGGAGCTGAAGCCGCTCTTCATCCCGCTCTACACCACGCTGGTGGCGGTGGCGTGCGTCGGGAACCTCTTCCTCATCCTCCTCATCGCCCTCACCAAGAAGCTGCACTGCACCACCAACTTCCTGATCGGGAACCTGGCGGTGGCCGACTTCATCATGTGCCTGGCCTGCGTGCCCTTCACCGTGTCCTACGCCTTYGAGGAGCGGGGCTGGCTCTTCGGTGCCTTCATGTGCCACTTTGTCACCCTGCTGCAGGCCGCCACTGTGTTCGTGTCGGTGCTGTCGCTGACGGCCATCGCCATCGACCGCTACGTGGTGGTGGCGTACCCGATCCGCAGGCGGCTCGGCCGCAGGGCGTGCCTGGGCCTCGTGGTCACCATCTGGCTGCTGTCGGTGGCCGCCTCCGTGCCCACCTCGCTGCACACACACTACCTGGACCTCAACGCCATCGGCCACGACATGGTCATCTGCGAGGAGTTCTGGCAGCACGAGGAGAGGGAGCGGCTGCTCTACTCGTGCCTGATGCTGCTGCTGTCCTACGTGCTCCCGCTGCTGGCCGTGTCCGTCTCCTTCTGCGCCATCACGCACCGCCTGCGCAGGAGGAACGTGCCGGGAGCTGCCCTCCGCCACCAGGACAAGTGGACCAGGACCAAGCACAAGACGTTCCGCGTGCTCACCGTTTCCGTGGTSTGCTTTGCCGTCTGCTGGCTGCCTCTGCAGGTGGTCAACTTCATCCGCGACATCGACCACGAGTTCGCCATCCTGGACAAGAGGTACGTCAACGTCATCCAGGTCTCGTGCCACCTGATGGCCATGAGCTCCGCCTGCTACAACCCCTTCATCTACGCCTCCCTCCACAACAAGTTCTGGTTCCACCTCAGCAGCTGTTTCTACCGCAAGAAGAGCTCCTGGGCCCTGTCC